AAAATAAAAGAAAGGACTTGACAGCTGATCATTAGTAAATACGAGTAGGAATATTCCTATCAAAATGGCCTGCCAGTTTTTAAAAATATTTTTCTTTCGATGAGTGTGCGTTTTGATCTTTGAGAATTTCATTTTCCTGACGTGTTGAAACCCACCAGAGTCTCTGTCGCGTGTACTTCTCCAGAATCAACTGTAAACAACTTTCCTGGTACCAATTAGCATAGCAATATCTACTGTCACGGAATACTAATGTCAGCAATTATACTGGGATTTCATTAATGTAGCAATATCTCAATCCGTCCGCTGACGATATAGATTGAATTTTGGCGTCATGCAATGCTTTATGGAATCTAGATACATGTAGCAGGATTTGCCTGACATTTCTTGCAAAAATGAAAACTTAAGTCTATCCTTGATATACAGAAGTAAACATTTAATGGCCATAACTTCAGTCTTGTCTAAGTTTGCAATTCTAAATTCGATCGATCATTTGCCTCAATAATGAGATATTTCTAGCCATCATTTACCTATATTAGCAGGAGACCTTCTATGCATTCGATACTACATATAAATTGAACATCAAAATCAGCAAAAATATCATACTTACCTCCTTTTCTTTTCAAAGCATTTATTCTTGCTGCCTACATTGTTTGGGGATGTAAATAAATTGTTATTTGCCGAGCACTATACTGTGGACCGAGAATATGAAGCAGAATGTGTTCAAAATCTTGTACGTTAAAAGACAAAAACATTTGTGGCCTTCAACTCAACATTTAGATATATAGACGACTTATTGTCGGTCAACAATCTTATGGTCATTTCCTTTCAAACGTCGACACGATATATCCCGGTGAGCTTGAAATAAAAGATACCACAGAGTCTGACACATCTGCATTTTACTTAAAAAAGACGTTATTGGTATTCTAACAACAAAGGTTTATGATAAACGTGATGACTTTAACTTTCCAATCGTCAACTTCCCTTCCTTGTGCAGCAATTTACTCAGTGCCTTTATCAACTGCATACGGTGTTGATTTGATACACAAGAGTATGCTCTACGAATGAACAATTTCTAAAACGTGGATAATTATTGACAAAGAAGTTGATTGAACAATATAAGGGGAAGCTCACTCCTCCATGGCACCAGATCCCGCCTCTGATGTTTTAGAGGTCCGTGTATACTTTGCTCCTGATTTGTAATATTTAATGGACTGGAATATTCTTCGTTATCTCCATATATTTCAGTCTTATTGTGTCTGTGCTAACTCTCTTTCATTTATACAGGGTCAGGACACTAAAAATTCATACTAACTTTTCATGAATTCTTGTTACATTGGGCAATATACACTATTTTAATATACACATTTTTTTACGATGTGCATAAGAATAGAACCCAAATCTGTTTTCTCCAGAAATCTAGAACAGTGTTGGAATTGGTCAAAAACTCATTCAGTTGTTTATATATTGCACCCAAATATTTGAATATTCTCTGCGAAAACTTCCGTTGTGTTGAAAACAGGTAATCCTTTTCATTTATCCTCACATACTTTGCATAGTTCCTCTGTAATCGTCAGCTGTCAAAGCATTGCGGTAAGTTTTTGTGGAATTAGCTGTAAAGGTAAATTTTTGATAACTTCAAATAGATATAGGGCTGGGATGATACAACTTTTTCTATATCGATACGTATCACGATATTTGAGCCACGATACGATATGTATCACGATATGTTTAATTGCTTATAAAATCTTTTTTTGCATTGAAATAAACAAATTATTTCTTTGCAAATAAGAATAATTTATTCAAAATAGTTGTTTATATGTTGTAAAACAAAATTATTTAACTCAAGTGGTGTTAATTATTATTATTTCATATCTATATTTATATTTAGCTTATTTATTTTATATATTTAACCCCAAATGTTAAATAAACAAAGAAAAACGGAAGTAAGATTTTTGGGGGAGATATTTCGATATTTCTTCCTATGTATCGATATGCGTATCGTCATCACATATATCACGATATATCGGTATCTCGATATATCGTCCCAGCCCTAAATAGATAGAACCCGGATAAAATCAAACAGATATTCTAAGAACTCGGTGTTCCTATTTTCCCTGTGATAAGATTTTTGGGGCATCCATCCATTTATCCGATTTTCCCCATTGTCGAAAAGTCAAATCTTTGTGCTAACCTGACCCAGAATATATTTCCTCTGTAAATACCTATTTTGCTATGCATATGAATCTAGAGTTAATCACCGTTGATTTACCTTCTTTTTGTCTTAATTTTTTTTCTTTCTTGGCATGCTTTTATTTTGTATTTGTAGAATCTGAGTAAACAAAAAGCCGATGCCTCTAACATACCAACGTTTCGACTTCCAATAGAACGCTTTATGAAGAAGAAAGATCAAATACATTTCTCGCAAGTTTTAGCAGTCAACCAAGGTAAATGAAACAAATTATTTTTTCATAATTTAAAACGCATAAATCAAATGCGAAAGTGTGGAACTCGTAAATGCGTAAAAATAGATTTTTTTTTTCAAAGTTAGCCCGTCATGTTTTTACGTATGAAAACATGTCAATGTACTAATTGCGTGGAATACTTGGTAGTCATAACAATTTACGTTCCTAAACACTGGGTCGCATTGCAACATGTATTCTGTCGGTCAGTCTATCTGCCTACATGTACATTATTTATGTAATTTGATGTGGTGTTAAATAAAAAACCTGGGTGAAATCTGTGAATCGATAAATCTAGTGGATCTTTCAAGGTACAATATACATTATTAAACCCGACCAGCCAGCAGTATTACACCTGTTTTCTTAAAACAAAATTTATTGACTGCCTTTACTACATGTATAGCATTGAACTCGGTCAACCTTGATAAATGTAAGCTTTTATTACTTATAATTTACGTCCAACAAGGAGTTATTTGATGCCGTATCTTTGTATTACATCTATGTTATTAACAAGGGGTATTTTTGTATGAATCTTTTTGGCTGGGTTATTTCATACAATTATCATGGAATAACTGTAAAATAATGATGTTTACACATACTAGTACTTTGATTACTTTCTATTCCAAAAAACGAGTTAATTTTGTCCATGTATACTTTCAGTGTTTGAAATACTGGTGACGTATCTTTCTTCAAGAGATTGGAAAACTTCACTCAGTAAGGGCGTGCCGGAAAGGAAGGGATATGTCTTAAAAGACTAATTCATAATAAATACATCCTAAAATTTATTTTCTTTTTGATTATTTATCTTTGCAAACTATTGTGTATAAGAATATATCTTGAAATTTTCCTTACTAGACATTTTATTCAAACCAATATTTGTAAAGTGATACTGTTTTAAATTCTTGTAAATTGAGTTCACACGTTCATATCAGTTTCCTTCTTTTTCTGATGGCAACATATTGTGAAATGATCACGTAGTTCTCAGCTGGTAATTAACAAAGTTGACAACATGTAAATTTCACAAAAACCGCTATCGTTTATACATATTTCCTAGTCTATTCAACAAGAGGCCCATGGGCCACATCGCTCACCTGAGAATCTTTTGTCATTTTGTTCTTTAACAAAGTATTGTGACCCCATCCTACCCCAATGATCATAATTTACACAGTTTGAAATCTAAATTAACAAGGATGCTTCCACATAAGTTTCAGCTTTTCTGGCCCAGTGGTTCTTGAGAAGAAGATTTTCAAAGATTTTTCCTATATATTTCTATGTAAAACATTGATTCCCCACTGTGGCCCCGCCCTACCCCTGGGGGTCATGATTTGAACAATTTAGAATCTACACTACCCAAGGAATATATTGGCCCAGTGGTTCAAAAGACAAAGATTTTTCCTATATATTGTGTAAAACTTTGATTCCCCAACCCCTGGGGGTCATGTGAACAATTTAGAATCTACACTACCCAAGGATGCTTCCACATAAAAGTGGTTCTTTATGTAAAACATTGATTCCCCATTGTGGCCCTGCCCTACCCCTGGGGGTCATGATTTGAACAATTTAGAATCTACACTATCCAAGGATGCTTCCACATAAGTTTCAGCTTTTCTGGCCCAGTGGTTCTTGAGAAGAAGATTTTCAAAGATTTTTCCTATATATTTCTATGTAAAACATTGATTCCCCATTGTGGCCCCGCCCTACCCCTGGGGGTCATGATTTGAACAATTTAGAATCTACACTACCCAAGGATGCTTCCACGTAAGTTTCAGCTTTTCTGGCCCAGTGGTTCTTGAGAAGAAGATTTTCAAAGATTTTTCCTATATATTTCTATGTAAAACTTTGATTCCCCATTGTGGCCCCACCCTATCCCTGGGGGTCATGATTTGAACAATTTAGAATCTACACTACCCAAGAATGCTTTCACATAAGTTTCAGCTTTACTGGCCCAGTGGTTCTTGAGAAGAAGATTTTTTAATGACCCAGACCCTATTTTTGTCTTTTCTTGATTATCTCCCCTTGCGAGGGGATATGTCCCTTCATTTTAACAATTTAAATTCCCCTTCACCCAAGGATGCTTTGTACCAAGTTTGGTCGAAAATGGCCCAGTGGTTCTTGAGAAGAAGTCGAAAATGTGAAAAGTTTACAGACGGACGACGGACAAAATGTGTTCAGAAAAGCTCACTTGAGCCTTCGGCTCAGGTGAGCTAAAAACTTTATATATTGTGTTCTTTATTAACCCTGTGGAATACCGGGTGTACAAAAGTTGGTTGACTTCTTGATTATTGTAAGTTTTCCATTAAATTGAAATAGAATCCATTCTTTACCAAATCATAATTGGCAGAGCTTTTCATAAAACTTTTAATAACTTAGACATTTATTCAAGATTACCAAATGATTCCAAACGTCTATGTTATGAATTGCAATCAAATATAATAGTTGCACTTATTTCATACCAGAAGGACACATTATGTAGTCAAAGTTATTTAGAAGACGCACTTCTTTATAACTGTGTGTAGCTAAAATATGAATTGACAACATATATCAGGTTAAAACAACTGTTTATTCAGTTTTTTGTTCAATTACAAAACTTAACAATCTAAGAAATTACATTCATTTGATAAACCGTTTCACTGAGTTGATGAACTTTCATAAAAAATAATTTGTACAATGCCTTATATACATAATATACAAATCACAAACTGTGTTTAACATTTTTATATATAAATAGTTCTTAATTTAGTTTATAACTGTATTCAAAACAGTTTTGCAAAATTAGCGGATATGAACAAAATACTGAGACAAGAGTCATCCTTGCTGATTTGTATACATGTACATTGAAAAACAAAATGACGTACAACATATGACAGTAATAATAAATAAAAGTTGCTCACTATTTTCAAATAAATAAGAACTTTTGTCTTTTTCATTACCCACTCTCTGTACACCTTTCGACCGGCGTTAAAAAGAAACAGAACTCCCCGGGGGCCTTTACATCTGTCAGGAAAGTTGACCTTCGGCGAAGAACAACATTACACATACATACAGAAGCGGCAGCAAACACAGATCGGCACAAACATAGGTGTGCTTACACATTAACATTTCTCTCTCCAGCGAAAGGAAGTTTGTACACGCCAGATAAATTTGATGTTGAACAATGTAATCTACGTCTTATTTTGTAAAATCTCTTTATGTAATTCTGTTCTTTTTCTCTTTGTGTAAGATGGCGCAAATTAACCAATTTTGATTCCAAATAACTCATTACAGAACATCAATGTGAAAAAAAGAACGATAAAAAATAATTCTTCCAAGTGCGTATTGTTTGGTTTGCCTTCAGAAATTTTTTTTTCTTTTCAAATTGAATTTGGTTTGCCGAAAATTCAAAAAAATTAATTCTATGTTAGAGAAAAAATATCCTTCTAAAATATATGGTTTGTACACTCATTTAGTTCAAACGTCATTAATCAAAAGAAAAATAATCTGCTCTAGCGGAATGATACAGGCTCTTGGAATTTTTCGTTTTGACCTAATGACCTGGGTGTAGACACGTCATTCATTGCTACTCTTTGGCGACGGTCATTACCTGCGTTACGGTAAGGGTTGATAACCATCTTGTTGGAGATTAAAATAATATTTTCCCAGCAGGATGATAAAAGCAACAGATGTGCGATAAAATTGAAATATCGCCATTAGGTCTATACCAGGTAAATAAAATAGTCATCTGTGATAAAAAGTCAATTTTTCCCAACCTCTAATATTTATCAAAAATGTCTAGTCGTTTGCAGAAAAGATTCACAATGCAAGGTGAAAATACACGCTTACAAAAATTATAAACGTCATTAGCAAACTTGTAATCAATCGGGTCAGCGATTCAAACATTTATATCAACAAAAACGAGGCAACATAACGTAAAAAAAATGTTAGGAATTTTTTTCCTTTGAAATACTGCAGAAAAAAAATATCACATTGACAAACAGTTGTAACATGACAAAGACTAGGTATAAGGGTGCATTCTTTTGTTTGAATACAATAAGAAAAAAATGTCACTGAAATACAAAAAGTAGTTTTCATGATGCACAAGTAGAATTCCAAACCACTTATTACGAAATCCTTCACTAAGTAGTATACATGCAGTTCCTATAACGCCGAGAAGTCAACTGTTCCACAGAAGAATCCTTTGGGCCCTTTTCGTTCTCAGACCATCGACATTTCTTATTAGCGGTCTATTATAATAGTACCATATACCGGCCACTCGTTCCAGGAAAGAACACAACAAACATCCACATAAATCAAACAGTTGTCTCTGGAATATAAAGATTCAATTATTTTAAAACTATTTTTGAAGACTTCTGATATTTAATTTATCACTATACGACTTTGCTTCATTTTTTTTTCTAATATCGAATATAATGCATATTTCCAAATGTTTAGAGAGCAGTGAGTTTTGTAAGAATTTTATTCATCAAAGTGTTGGTTGCGTGAAAAAAAAAATTGTACAGGACACAAAAAAATCTTCTACAGACGTCTCCTGAGTAAATTGATTTTCCTTACCTTTCCTATTTTGGGACTGAGTTACTGCTGGCTTCGGTTGTCTTGGCGCAGGCGTTGGTCGGCTGGCCACTGGGGGTTTTGCACTGACATTCTTTGGTTGAACACCATAAGAATTGGAACCGGCCGTGTGATCCTTCTGTGCTGTAGTAGTGTCTTTTTGAACGTTATCTTTTTCGCTGGTTTGCAGACTAGAAACGGCATGATCCGCTCCAGGCGGTTTGCGTTGTTTATATGGCTCATGGTTTAATTCCCCATTAGAAAAATGTTCTGTTAGCTGCATTGGAGATCTCTCTTCACTCGTTACTGAAAGCGGAGTCGTCTTTTTGAGAATCGACGGGGGAACTTTGGTCTCTGAAATTGGGATATGTTTAGGTCTGGTTGGTGAAGTAGGTGATGTTGTAGAAGGAGCATTAAGAGGGCTATTTGTAGAAGGTTTCACCGGAGAAGTTTCACCAGACTGCTTGTCCGTACTTTTTTCAAACATAAGTCGTAATTTTGAAAAAGGCACTATAGGTATGGGCATTAACTCTTTGGGTTTCTCTTTGTTTCTAAATTTGTCACTAGGTAAAGATATACTAGCTGGGGAAATGGGTGCCCTTTCGGGAGTCATTGGTAACTTAGGACTACGGAAGAATTTGGCACTAGGTGGCGTTACACGAGTTCTGATGACGACAGGATTTTGCTGTAATGGAGACTGACAAGCAGACGATGAGACACTTGGAGGGTAACCCATGGATGACATGGTAGATGTGGAGTCCCTTCGCTGTGTGGATCCATATAAACTAAAAGTACTACCACTACGCGAGACACTAGAGTTTTTAAACCAATCCGGAACATTCAGTTTTTGTAGAGATTTCGACACCCGTAGTTCGTGAACAGAAGGAACCCGCGTAAGGTTTCCCTCCCCTTTTGCCGAGAACACATCGTCTATGTTTGTTTCTAAAGTCTGTAAACTCTTTGACTTGGCGACATTTTTGTCTGCGAAACGACCCCGCGAGGTCTTCTTGGTTTGCTTCGTAGCACCCAGTTCACTCATACTGTGTGCTCTCTTGATGGAACTCTGAAAATCAAAGTCATATTCAACATCAGAATCAGGGTAAACAAAAAGTGTTTCTGTCGTTTCACCAGTATCTATGTCCGTTTCAACAAGAGATGCCATAGAACTATATCGCATCATATCTGACCCACTCACTGAAAAACTACTATTTAAATGGTCAATGGATTCAGTTGTGTTAAGAATTTCTTCATGAATTTCGGGTGAAAACATGCAATTTTCATGCAGGGAATGAAGTTCTCTTTTCTCAAATGATTCGTCCCATGAAAGGCGAGATGAGTACATGTTGCTTATGTGATCTATCCGTTCTATACTGGAATTTCTAAGAGAATTTCGCGATGAGGAAAGTTCACGCTTTTTATAGCGCCCAGTTCTGGGAATTGAGGTAAGTGAGGCTTTGTGCGATGCGAATTTGTCATGCATAGGACTTGGCGCCAAACATTCTTGGCTCAAAAATTTGTGTCGCATAGCAAATATTTTTTGTCGGGACAGAGGGACATTTTTCGGTAACTCGAAAACGAAAGTTTTCTTTTCCGGCTCTGCAACTGGGGCAAGAAGAACTGACTCGTAAACAATAGGAGGTCTCTTCTTTTGAAGGTGTTTGCTTAGCTTAGCTTTTACACCCTTTGAATCACGTCGAAACGAGGACGGTTTCTGTAGAGGTGTATGGGCAACACGACTTGTTGCTGACTTGTCCAAATATTTGTTCCATATTTCCAAGTTTTGATCATACACAGCTTGATCAATTGGCTTAGAGGGCTTCATGATGTCCAAATCGGATTTCCATTCATCCGGCTCAATAGTGTCAAACGTTGTTTCAGTACGTCTCTTATCCGATTTTGGAGAGGTTTCTACTTTAGAATTCACAATATCGCAAGACAGAGGCTCTTCTTCGATGTGAAGTAAATTTTTAACATTACTATTGGCGTCTAAGACTTTATTATCTGTTGTTGATAAATCACTCTGAATTGGCTCGGGATTCTCTGACAAGTTGGAGGGGGCTTGTACGTTTTGTTCTGAAGAACATGTAATCTCTTCTACTGAAGTTTCATTAGGACTTGTTTGAATTGACACATTTTTATCTGGATCGCGCATATTGTCAATAATGTCAACAGTATCTTTATCAATATTTGTTTTGTCAATTAATTTTTCCTTATTTTGATCCTGCTCTGTGTTTTCTGGTTGTTCATTTGATAGATTTTGTTCCTGATTATTACTTTGTGTTTCTGGGGTTAAATCCTCCTCTAAAATATGTAAGACGTTTTTAGTACAAGGAGGATTAATTTCTTTGCTTTCACTGATTTCATCTCGTTGATTAGCACGCTGTATTAAATTCTTGTCACGATTTTCATCATGGTCTGCGTTATCTTTCTGCAAACTTAACGTTGTGTATGATCGAATGTTTTCAATTTCGACAGCTGATGCATTATGATGCTGGATGAAATCAATATTTGTTGAGGCTGCGTTGGCTTCGTTAAGAAGCCGTGTTTTCTCATCAATAATAATAACGTCTTCTTTGTAAGGACCGTCACAATTGTCTGATTTATGTAGTGTTTCTTTCTCAAGGTCTTCCGAAGGATAAGCACTCTCCGAAATAACTGGGCATTCATTCAAACGTTCATTTGACTCGCGTATGACTAGATCTATTTCATTGATATTGTTCAAGTACTCTGCACTATTTTCAGTATCAGTATTTCGTTCTCTCATGAAATATCTGCTCCTTTGCTCGATGGTTATATCTTCAGTTCTAGAATATACTAACGACTGATTAGGACTACGCATAAGAGCCCTCAAGTCTTCACAGGGCTGCGATAGTCCGGCGATGTTCAGGTTGTTAACAGTTTCAAAATTTCTCAGATGCCCGTTATTTCCGACAACCATAAAGAACGAATCGCTATCGTCTGTTTCTTCGCCAGAATCGCAAAAATCATCTTCAAAAGGGTTGTACTCTCGAGGTTCGACATCATCGTCAAATCTGTTGTCATGTAGTAAACTATTCCTAATTTCCTCAAGAAAACTAGGATTTATTTGTCCATTTTCGTTGAATCTATTTCTTTCTCCGTCTTTTCTGAATTCGCTTTGATCACTGATATCCTGCACAAATTCATCATAATCCAAATCGCTTGCAGCTCTTTGTTTTTTGTTTGTGGCATGTAAATCCCCGGGTATGGTAACTTCTAAATCTGTGTGTACTTCTGAGTTTAAATCTCTATCGATAGTGTTCGTTGATTGGCTTGATTTTGTTAAGTCAGATTTGCAGCTGTCCTCTGAAGGGCTTTCAACATGGTGTATAAAAGCAAGTAGGCTTTCATTTGTTGGGTCTTTGACCTTTTCACATTCAGATAAAATAGAGCACGCTTGACTAGTTTGCTGAATTTCGACTTTCTCTTTCGTTTTGTTTAATTCCCACGTGTTGACACTTACAACTGTCATTACAGAAGCACTACTACTACAAGTACTGCACGATTCGTCTGAGAGATTTTCGTCATCCTCAATTGCACACGTTCGCACAGGTGAATTGCACATAAGTTCCGCTTCGTCTGAATCAAAATATGTCAGATTTTCGGGCCGATTGTTAGCAGTAATTATATCCGACTTTGAATCAAACTCCCCACATTCTTTGCTTTCAGTCTCGTTAACATTTAAATTCCAGTCGTGCTGCTTTTCTTCGTTTGTCACAATAGGTGGCGTTAAAGCCTCCGTATTTGACTGTTCGCAACTACTGTGAAAATGTGCCTCAACTTCGTGTGTTGATTGCTCTTTTTCACCGAGAAAATCTCTTTCATTCAATCCTTCAGGTATATTTTCAGTTTCATTCCTGGGAGATAGATTTTCGCTTTCACTTTCATCCGAGTCATCAAATTCATCGTCCGAATCTTCCTCAATGATAGGCGCTAATGTTTGTGGACAATAGATTTGATTATCATCAGGTGAACTACACTCAAACTCCCCTTCATCACTTTCATCCTCTTCTTCCTCATTGCTACTGTCAGTTATCTCCATATGATTTTCCGAGTCCTCAACGGCACTTCTGTACTCACTATTTACATACATTTCCTCCAGCATTTGACTTGACATGGGTGGTGAAAAATCACTATATTCGTCAGGTGAACTTTTTTCACTGTCCTTCAAAGCTTTGGCAGACGAGATAAAGTCTCTTGCTGACCGTCGGGTGTGTACGGCACCGTACATGTCCTCTTCCCAGCTGTAGTTGGCCCAGGTAGGGCTATCGTCTTCATCATCCGAAACACAGTAATCTTCTGGCCCCGAGCCGTCGTTTGTGGCGCATTTCGATACTAGGTCGGCCGAATTTGACACTTCGGCTGTGGGGCACTGAGAGGTAGAATTACCCACAATGGTTTCTTTTGCATGATCAAGTTCACTGTTTTTATCGGGTTTTATATCAGTTTGTGTTAACTGCTTTGATCTGAATTTTTGTTGGGGGCGTCCATTGTCAACCTGATTCTGTTCCTCCTCCAGTAGCCTCCACGAGAACAAAATAGTAATTATTGTAGCGATGGCGGCTGTCAAAAATCTCTCGAACGCCCCGTCCGTGTGGGAGCCTAGCCCGGCGCCTTTGCCGATATTATCCATCATTCACCGTGTCCAGCGGATGTAAACACCTGAGAAATCCATGGAATGTCACATTGTATACCTTACAAACACGAGATCTTTAACACTACTTGTTCAATAAATATACGATCCATCACGCCAAGAGTCACAATTTGTTTAATACTGAAGTCCGCCATATGTGTCCTTGTTGTCAATTTATGCGAAACATCGGCCATTTAATGCTGAATTTACACATACTACTGCAAGGCTTAGTTGTCAAATATAGACGGTGTTTAAGAATTCCTTTCCAGATGAACAACCAATGAAATCTTGCGTTATATACACGTGGTCGGTAAATGCGATCGATAGGTAAAAATAAAAATCCATTGACTAATTTCGAGTGAATTATCGATGATTGTTATGTATAATTATCGTGTTATCTTAAGCATAATGATAATTGTAACCATGTGTGTTATCATGCAGCGCGACATTGTTCTCTGGATAATATGACACGCGAAATTCATGTAACAGCCTGAAAAGCTAATTCACGCCTTAAAAAAATTAATAAATTTTATTGCATCTCATTTCTTTCATGCAACATACGAGAGGTGATATAAAGCGCACAATTGTGAAAAACGACAGAAACACAGAATTTTATATAAAATGAAGGGAAACATCGAAGTGTACATTGTGCTGTTGTGTATTTGCTGGAGAAAAGGAAAACCGTAAATCGATTAGTAAGACAGCTGGTTTACCACTGAACAATGGTTTTCAATAAGACTAGCAGTTAGGAAGCAAAAGATACAGTTAAATCGTAATATAGTCACATACACATTATAACAATGGGATAAAATGCATTGAGACCTATCTATTTAAATGAATAAAAAAATGGGTTGGTTTTATGTGGAAGGTATGTTATTTCTTTACCAAAACATTCAAATAAACAGTGGTTCATACAAAGATCACGTATACCTAAACAGAAAGAAAAGAGCTTAAAGAAACCCGATCAAATTCAGACCCCGGGCCATCCTTAAAAACAAACATGGACTAAAGGATTGATTTTTGTTTTATAAACAAGATTCAAGGACCGTAAAAAAGAACTTAACAAAAGTAACGTGCAATATTCTTGTCAAGCTTGTATTTTTCTTAATTTTCATGTCATCTATATGAATCTATTCCCTTTTATGAATCTTGTAATAATCTTGTTTAAATGAGCCTTTAACATCGTGTTGACATTTTTGCCTTCAGCTATATCTTGCTTACATTAACCTGTAATAAAGATAAAATCTGTGACAACAGTGTCGTCCATGAAAAAGGCAGAAGCAAGCGAGCAAAAAAAATGAACCCCTAAAGTGTCAAAAACTCTTCCATTGTTCACCTTGAAGTTCCAATGTTCATTTAATTTTGGACATTTTCATACAAATCACCGTGAAACATTCAGTGTATTATGTTTAATCTTGGACGGGTATACGAGTAATCTGCTTGGACCAGATGAGTAAACACTATTAAATGTTATATGTGATAAAGTAATCTTCGGTCAATAAAACATGTGGCTTAAATACACTGGGGGATGTATATTAACATACAATGTCATATACGGATAGGTCGGTTTCCCTCTGCATGGCTCTGCAGATAAATTTCTTAGGGATGGATCTAAAATTTTGTGTGGCGAAGGTGCAGTCTTGAAATAACCCCCTCCTGTTTTTAACGAACCCCGAGTAACTAAGAAAGGGGGTTATGAATCAAGGAAGAAGGAAATGTTGCATAAAACATGGGAAAAAATTATAGTAGTTTGCAAAGGTAGTCAAATTTAAAGACATTTTGTCATGATTTTAGCTTTTAAAATTCATGTAGAATGTACAAAGCCTATCCGTCATATAGGAGTTCCTAAATATTTTTAGGGCATTTATACCAGAATATTATCCCCATTAAATATTGAGAGTATACATAAAACTAGATAACTACGAGAATCCTGATGATTACTGTGACATGCAGCATTTTATTACTTACATCTGAACATAAATGGTCTTCTTTGAAGACCTTTATTAGTGGCGAAATCTTCTCATATAAGGAACCTAGAAAATAAAAGGCATTTTATTATAATGCATAAAGCTATCCAATTTTTCATTGGTTATACTCATATTTAGAATAATTTCAAATTAAAACAGAGTTAATCTCAGTTTTAGTAAACAATATATAACTCGGCCCAAGAAAGCCTTTCCTGCTATTTTCCAGTATGTACATGTAAGTAAATTACATGTAGAGTTGAAAACTAAAAAAAATATATATATAAAGTCTGAAAAAATGCACATGTATTTCAAAATGATAGGATTGGAAGATTTGATTGTAAATTAAACTTATCTCCCAATTAACAGAAAGAATTAATATCTGAAGTTTGAAACAAATTATCGGTATAAAAAAATCTGACAGCGCGAAGGTACACAGTAGAATGGTAATCAGGGTTAAAAAGAATTCCACATGCGTTTACTTATTACAATTTACTTTTAAATTTTAGAACAACTAATTTCTATAATTATAAATTGAAGCATGCATTGCATTACTAAATAATTCCAGTATTGTTTGACTTATGCATTTTTAACATAAATACAGACATTACTTTGCAGTCAGATGTAATATTCCTAATATGCCATCACGATATGATGAGACCCCTTCTGTATTCAGTAGGATAATTAATCCAAAGGGAATCACCAGTTATCACATTTTCGATCGACGGGGATTTTACAGAAGTTAACTCTCTTTGTCCATTCTCTTTTACCAAATTTATTATCACCACCCAAACCAGTTATTCGGATGACAAACAGAGTAAGACCTAATTTTTTTTAGAAAATGTATGCTTGTTTCATCTGGTTATTTGTTCTAATGTACACATAAAACATTTTGTTGACAGCTGTAACCGTTTCAAAAGATGACAACTAAATAAGTTGTTAGAACATGTGTTCGAACCTCATGTAATATTTATAAATATTTCATAATAAAATATTTTTAAACCATATATATAAAGTACATACCTAAATTAAAACTTAAATTATATTGTTAAATATTGGGATATTTGGATGTGTTTGGATATGTGTTTGGATATTGGGATATTTGGATGTGTTTGGATATGTGTTTGGATATTGGGATATTTGGAGGGTTATACTCGTCTGACAAATTGAATTCTCTCGTTAGCGCGTGATGAAAATTTGCCTGTATGATCGTTCCTTTTTATGACATGAAATTTATAATTCAGTGCTTATATCTAAATTTCAAAAAATTATTTCATGATAAATTAAATATTAATATTTTATGCCTTTTCAAATGATACGCAACGTAACTGTTCAGCTTAACCGAAGAAGGGACTGTACAATTTGATTGTGAATTTCACGTTAAAGACGTTGCACTTGCACATCGTTTGAAGGTACGAGTAAAAATTGGCCTTTTGATCTTTTATGGTTTTTGAATGCCAAGGCTTTCCATACTCTACTAAAGAAAACATAATTATATGAAATGTTGATATATGATATATATATACATGTATTTGTCAATGCTTTTTGCAGGGGATATATATATATATATATAGTTAGCTGTGAATTTATAGGAATAAAAGACGTTGTTGAAAAATTGTACAGCCGAGGCTCATTTGTTTTTTAAAAGATCTGTGAATTAGGTACACAAGACTTTAATAACGCTTTGATAAAAACTATTAAAAATCTTAGGAAATAGGGAAAAGACGCTACATTTGATTTAAATTCAAATATTCCTTAAATTAAAATTATTTTTGTCTTGTTCTTTTAACTTAGATTTAAATGTGTCCGTATATCTTACCTTTACGATTTCTTGGAACAGAAGGGCATTTCATTATTATCTCCATATGATAAATATTAAATCGATAATTTTTCATTTGAGGGTGCTAATATATCTTAGAGCAGGTAATTGTATTTTAATTTGAGATGGAGTTGCGAGCTTTTACAGTGTTGAGCTTCTATTTGACGTGTGTCATTTTTAATTGCACTTTTAAGCTCATTTAAAGATAATTGTTTCCATGAGTGTTACTAAGTGGAGAAACCCTGAAGTTATATATAAATTGCATTTTTTATACACAAAATATATCCCAGAGGTTGTGTACTGGTGTACAGACATATGCATGGGAAAAAAGTAAAGAAAAACTATTGTAAACAATACACAATTCTTTCAAAAGTAACCTCAAAGCAACAAATACTAGTAACAAAGATGCATATGAAGGCATTTAAACCTATAATGATTCACCAGAGAGAGAGAGAGAGAGAGAGAGAGAGAGAGCTTTGTAATGTAATGATACACCGCATCAAAATTGTTAAATATGCTACAATACAACAGTCGGTTCTGAAAGGGCAATTTGAATGCATAATGCCAAACCCAAAATAATTGTATGTGTATCAAATAATGGACAGTGGTATAGCCTATATAGTTACACCTGGGAACAAACAATGTACCTCATAAATTGACCTACATATGTGAATGAAGTACTTCCATGCTGTGACTCGAGCTATCTATCACACACACACACGACACCATTATTATCAAATTACAGAGTATGTAAACAAAAATAATGAGTAGTAAATACAGATTCTACGTTTTATAAACAACTACGGATTCCTTTCCCGTAATCAAAATGACAAATGGATGTAGTGCAAGTTTATGCCAAAAGATGAGTTTCATGTCGAGAATAATTTCATAGAAGTTCCCTAAAACAAAAATAACATTCCAAACATAGTATCAGTGATAAAGGTGAGAGAAAACATCTAAACACAGACCGTAGAAACTTGAGTCCGTATACAAACTTCGGAAAACCTCTTCCTAAATCTTCCGTGGTCACACTTGAATTTGTTCATTAAACATGTTAAACATTTTTTTCCTTACTAGACACGCTTGTGAAAAATTAGGTTCAATTCACTAGCGAGGACGACCAAAGAAAGTTACGAATGATGCTGAAGGCTATGTAGCTTTAACTGTCCTGTCCCCCACTATTGAGCATCCTATGTGCTGACTATACATCTTTACACTGTGTATTACGTCACACCGAAGGTGAAAAACACGATTAGATGTAAAATCGTTACCATGGATATGTGTCACAGCAGTAACATTTTGTTTCTATAACATAAACTTGCAGCGGTCGCATAAAAAAAACATACCCCAGCCCTAAAGTGATTAACGATTTCCATGTCATTCATATTAATAACAAAATGCAACGACCTTCAAACACACCCATCATGTCTAAAACATACCGCAAAACACAGAAAAATGATGCTATAGAAAAAACTCTGTTCTCTACTTCACATATAAGAATACACAAGGGAAGAATCAGCACACGTCAAAAAACAACTTACTTGAGAAAAGTGAAAGGATAGCGCAAATAACGTACTTATCCAGGCTAAAATATTCCAGATATGTAAATAGCTTTTATCCAATGCTTTCTACAGTGTATCTCTACGCCCAAACTGACAATAGGGTAACGAGGCCTTCCGAGTGCCTCGGAAGACTTCGGGCACTACCCTATTGTCATCCGGGTGAGTTATCTTTTCTTGGGCGTAGAGATTCACACTGTGCAGAAAGCTGGGGTTTTAGTTGGATAAAAGCTATTTACGATGGATATATCTGGAATATTTTAAAACTAGGACATTATTTGCGCTAGTTCCTTTCAGGATTTGTGTAACTTTTCTCAAGTAAGTTGTTTTTTGACTTTTTTTAAAAAAACTTGTGTATTCTTATATGTGAAGAAAAATGATGATGCCCCTGTGTATAGACCGAGCATCACTGCATCTCACACATACACGTAATGTATATAAAACTTACCCTCTGTAATTTAAATGTGTACACTACTATGTCCGATGGTCCGAGCTCACGTGCATTCAGTAAGTGCCCCGCCCGTGCAGTTGCTATTTCCAGAGGATAGAGTTACTAGACTTGCAACGTTCGATAATAATTCTTAAGGAGGAACATTCCAAACATCCATATCGCATAAAGTACGTTCAGACGCCGCTATGTTGATGATACTATTCTTGTCTCGCGTGATTTCATTCTCGAAGCGCGTTGCCAAAGCAACAGATTTTCTCCTTCAAAACGCGGTTTGTCACATTTTCATCTGTGTGCTAACTTCAGATGTAACAATTTACATAGATGCGAATTTGAATGCTAAACTAGATAATCTATCAGTATGCATTGATCCTTTGGCTTACAACCGACATTTGAAGATGGGGTATAATATTACTTCATTAAGGCTGTTATTTACAGGCGCGTTATACATGAATGAGTGATTTATTCTCTGATTAGAATAGATCGGCATATACACTATAAACCTAAACACATGTGCAAATCAGAGGATACATTAAACTTCGGCGGTAAGAATCTTTGATGATACCCCGGAGTATATTTATACAATCTCTCTTCCCCTCTCTCTTTCACCGATACGTTCCAAGCTTCTACTCTGATAAATTCTATACAATGGTAATTTTCTCCTTCTTACTTTGGCATTTTTTGTCTCAAATTAACTTGATTATTAATAATTAACTTCTGAAAGTTTATAGATTTTAAGATTACTGCAGTGTTATCATAACAGTTATGGCTACCTACAAATCGTCATGAATAATGAAGTCTTTGATGCACTTTGTCTGACCAGACTTACAAATCGAAGTTCCCATTTAATTAAAAGCTTGCTTTTCCCCCGAGTCCAGGATTTATAGTCTAATTTGTGTACAGAGACAATGATTATAAGGTGTAATATACAAGATGAAATTTAGAAACCACACAAATCTATGTGAAATAAAATTGATTGGTTAATCTGGTGGCATAAGCTGTATAACAATCTAATGATTATTTTTCTATTCAGTAATTTTTACGGAAAACAGTTGATTATCTGTTTTTTTCCTTATTAAGAAATCGCGGGACTCTGGATAACCAGTCTCTTTCAGCATTCATTGTATACTATATATATATGATATATACATAGTGTAGATTTTGTATGGATTATCAATTATATTGTGCGTAATAAGGAATGAAGCACTCGAATTTGAAAGCAGTTTTAATTAAAATTTTCCATTCAAATATTTAACTTCTAAATTCATATGATTATTTACAAAGCATGTATCTTGATCATTATATGTACAAAATTGCAACTCTTTGAATAGAGCACCACTAGATATAGAGTTGTCCCACTTTGCTTTAAAATCCGTGGTTTATAACACAATTTATGCACCTAAACATGGATAATAACTTTCAGATTGAGTCTAGTAATTGTTTGAATTGATAAGATGAACCAGAAGCCATGTACCACGATTGTGCCCTGCATAGCTCCTTGGACACAAGTTACAGATTCAGTGCATGATTATACTGATCCTCTACATTTTCATGTATTGAAATGAAGTTAATTCTTCAAAATATAATTTCCTTTTATTTATATCTGTACAATAAACTGTCAACGGTGTGCTTGGTAATAAAGATATACATATATGGTCCTTACCTTTCCAAAATGATGAGATTATTTACTCTTTGCATCAGACTTCAATTCCCTTGATAAGGCTAAATATCTCCCGTCAAGTATACTGAAAAAAAAATATCTGCACATCTTAAGGTATAGATGTTTACTCAGATGACAAAAATTCCACTGATAAGAAAAAAAACACCTATTGCACAGGCGTTCAGATTTTAGAACGCAGTTGGCAGTTCGCTATTCGCAATTCAAAAGTGAACTGCGTTCTAGAACGCAGTTCGCAATTCAAAATTTTAACTTTAGCTGTATGATCTGAAATTTTGAGGGTGGGGATGATACCACTTCTATGAAAAACTGGTGATGGTACCATCTCTTGTTTCCGAGATATGGCCCTCCAGTTTTTAGCCCTACTATATAATGCTATACGAATAAACATCGGGCTCGGGGACATCGAAGTCCCCTACCTTGGGGTCTGAAATTTGAGGGTGGGGTGCTAGGGGTCAGATACCACTTCTATGAAAAAATGGTGATGGTACCATCTCTTGTTTCCGAGATATGGCCCTCCAGTTTTTAGCCCTACTATATAATACTATACGAATAAACATCGGGCTCGGGGACATCGAAGTCCCCTACCTTGGGGTCTGAAATTTGAGGGTGGGGTGCTAGGGGTCAGATACCACTTCTATGAAAAAATGGTGATGGTACCATCTCTTGTTTCCGAGATATGGCCCTCCAGTTTTTAGCCCTACTATATAATACTATACGAATAAACATCGGGCTCGGGGACATAAGTCCCCTTGGGGTCAGGGGTCAAATACCACTTGTATGAGAAAACGGTGATGATACCATCTGTAGTTTCTGAGATATGGCTCACATGTTGATACATACTGATGAGAGCTATGCAACTGCTTTAACTTATTATACCTTGACCTGTCCGTTGATCTTGACCACATTTTTCATAAATTATTGTTTAGTTCAGTTTTAAAGAAATCATCCAAGATATTTTTTTTCAAACTTTATGTACTGATTCATAATGATGAGAGCTTTTCAATTGCATCAATATTTTAGACAATTACCTTTCCTTTGACCTTGACCTTACTTTTCTTAACTGAATGTTTTGCTTAGTTTTAAACATACCATTCAAGGTGGTTTTAACAAACTTCACATGTTGATACATACTGATAAGAGCTATGCAACTACATCAAACTTTTTGACCTTGACCCTTCCTTAACCTTGACCACACGTGCTCCGCGGGTACAAAACATGTTGATTTTAAAATGAAGTAAATTTATTTGTGTTCAATCAAATGGAATGAAACTTCCCACATCAACAAAACAAATATTTTTACATATTATGATGTGCTTGTTTTTAATTTCCATTGAGTAATATAACAAGGATGGACATCGTCCACGAACTTTTCGAACAACTTAATTGTGGACCGGACCCGGTTGCACATGCAACCAGACAGCTATACAGACGGACAGACAGCTAGACAGACAGGTTAATTCGTATATACTCAAAACTTCCTTTGTTGGATAAAAAGATGAAAGAGAAAAATTATGGCTTATACTAATTATTTTTTCAGTTAAAAAGTTAACAAACCTACCGGGTAGTCCTTTCATACAGTCAATCCATACACATAAATATATATTGACTTCATAAAAAAGAGTATTTTGTATTTCTGTGAAATCTATATACACAACTGTATCTACATGTATGGATATACATCATGAAAGGGCTTTATCTGTATAATATCAAACAAAAGTTGAAAATAAAATTTTTACAACATAAAAAAAATAATAAATTTAAATTTTAAATCTTGCTGTTTAAAATTTTCATATTCATGGAGAAAGAAATCTAGAATTATAAAAACATTTTCAATATAAATCATATGCATTGATATCTTCTAAATAATGGATATCTTCTTCCACTATAATTATTTTTAAATTCTTCCTCTGTAACCCTCCCCCCTTTTTTTTATTGCAAAATTCTTATTAAAATGGTAAACCCTAAAAACCTGAATTATTAAAATTATGCACATATATATATAATCAATTAATTTTTAGCTGACATATTTTTGGTAAATAACATATATATCCGAAACGACTATAGTTGAAATGAAATTTCAGAAGTGAATAACATGACAATTATTGAAATAAAATATTAAAGAAAAAAATCAAAATATTCACACCTAAACAATCGAAAAGCAAACTCTAGGTTGTATTTTTTCCAATTTCTGACGTAAATACAAAGGAAAATGCGATTGACTATTAACAAGTATCACATGTGGAAGCTAAACATAGTTTCGTATAAAATCCAGGGGGTTTTTCCAAAGAGAAGAATGACAGAATGGTTTGTCTGCTATTTATAGGAATGTAGGAAATATATACAATGTCCCCGAGCCCGATGTTTATTCGTATAGTATGATATAGTAGGGCTAAAAACTGGATGGCCATATCTCGGAAACAAGAGATGGTACCATCACCATTTTTTCATAGAAGTGGTATCTGACCCCTACCACCCCACCATCAAAATTTCAGATCCCAGGGTAGGGGACTTCGATGTCCCCGAGCCCGATGTTTATTCGTATAGTATGATATAGTAGGGCTAAAAACTGGAGGGCCATATCTCAGAAACAAGAGATGGTACCATCACCATTTTTTCATAGAAGTGGTATCTGACCCCTACCACCCCACCATCAAAATTTCAGATCCCAGGGTAGGGGACTTCGATGTCCCCGAGCCCGATGTTTATTCGTATAGTATGATATAGTAGGGCTAAAAACTGGAGGGCCATATCTCGGAAACAAGAGATGGTACCATCACCATTTTTTCATAGAAGTGGTATCTGACCCCTACCACCCCACCATCAAAATTTCAGATCCCAGGGTAGGGGACTTCGATGTCCCCGAGCCCGATGTTTATTCGTATAGTATGATATAGTAGGGCTAAAAACTGGATGGCCATATCTCGGAAACAAGAGATGGTACCATCACCATTTTTTCATAGAAGTGGTATCTGACCCCTAGTACCCCACCCTCAAAATTTCAGACCACACAGCTAAAGGTAAAATTTTGAATTGCGAACTGCGTTCTAGAACGCAGTTCACTTTTGAATTGCGAATAGCGAACTGCGAACGGCGTTCTAAAATCTGAACGCCCTATTGCACATTGAACACTTATGATTCTTGTGTTAAATTTCAATTTCAAATAACTAGGTCAATGATCTACTTTTCATGCCAATGGCCCCTGAGTATTTCTTAGAAAAATACCTCAAATTTTTCACTCTACATATTACCATTTTTTTCTTTACTCACATAATATTACAAGCAACGAAATTTTTTAAATAATGAAATCTAATATGAATAAAACAGCGTTGCTTCATATAAATAAGCGATTGGCCCATAAACTTATTAATCATTACAGTCGGAATTTCTTCTGTCATATTTCTATTTCTGAATGATTAGAACTCTGGGGGTAGGGCTGGTCCACGACAGGGAATCCAAGTTTTACATATAAATATGTAACAAAAAAATTCTTTAAAAGTCTTCTTTTAAAGAACATGAAGATTAGCAAAGTCATGATTAGTCATATTCATATGGAAGCATCCTCAGGTAGTGTAGATTCACTTTGTTCAGGTCATGACCCCTGCGGCGAATGGCTGGGCCACAATGTAAGTTCAAATGTAAAGGGCAGTAAAGCCACAGGTAGTCAAAGAAATGTGCAAGCATCCTTAGATAGTGTAGATTCAAGTTTGTTCAAATCATACCCTCTCCCCTTTAAGGATTGGTAGGGACCACTTTTGGGTTTAAACTTTTCAATAATAAACTGATTTCTGCTTTCTTCCTAGCCACAGTGCTCAGGTGAGCGATGTGGCCCATGGGCCTCTTGTTTAACTTATTCAATTATTTAGTTTTCATAAGTTTAGGACCTCTCTGAGCAAGTCATGTTTTCTGATCACATGACCCGTCTGCCTGTCCATGTTACTGTAATTTTTTTCACATTTTCGACTGCTGGGCCAATTTACACCAAACGTAACACTAAACATCTTTAAGGGGGCATATATTTGTTCAGAGGGAAGACAAAGCCTTTTTCCAAAAGAAGATATTTGAGACTTGCGGGTTAGAAATTAATGGCATTTAAAAAACAAATTCAGGAACTGCAGGGCCAGAAAATATGAAATAAATGGAAGCACCCTCAGGTAGTGTAGATTCAAATTCGAATCATGACTCTCGGAAGTAAGAATGGGATCACAATAGGGAGTCAAATTTTGCAAAGCAAAAAAATCTTAAAAAATATTTCTTCTCAAGAACAGCAAAGTCACCCTCACCCCATACATGTATATTCTTTTCGTGTCCGTTGGCATATAAGGAACTTATACACTGCGACTGCATCCACCTGCCTCTGTCTTTAGCTGCTCTCCTTGCTGACGCCCAGCTACTCCAACCCAGCAGTTATCTTTCTTGTACCTTTGTTCTTCTCCATGTTGTTTTCGGTCGACCTACTTTCCTCTTTCCTTCAGGATGTCATGTGTCAGTGCAATGGTACCCATTCTGGTGTTCTCTATCCTAAGTACATGACCAATCCAATTCCACTTCCTAAGAGTTATTAACTTACTCCCATGGGTACCAATTGCGCCCCGTTATTAGCAGACCTATTTTTGTATTCACATGAAGCAGAATTTGTGCAAAATCTTCAGCGTGAAAAGAAGAAAACACTTGCTGTGGCCTTCAACTCGACATTTAGATATATCGACGACGTATTATCTATTAACAATGATAATTTCCATTCTTATTTCGATAAGATATATATAGTGAGCTTGAGATAAAAGATACCACAGAGTTTGACTACATCTGTTTCATATTTGGATATTTTACGTGAAAAAGACGTTAATGGTAATCTAACAACCAAGCTCTATGTGATAAACGGTATGACTTTAACTTTTCTATCATCAACTTTCCTTACTTATGCAACAATATGCCTTCATCAACTGCATACCGAGTTTATATCCCTCAGTTGATTCGATACGCAAGAGCATGCTCTACGTACATGTATGTACAATTTCTAAAACGAGGTATTATTGATAAACAAATTGATGAAACAAGAATATCAGTAGTCTCGTTAAAGTCATCATTTCGTAAGTTCTATGGTCGATACAATGACCTTGTCAGCAAATACAATTTATCATTTAGGCAAATGCAGACTGACGTTTTTCATAATAATTGTTAGTCCATTATTTAAATTACACATGCATTGTCGACGGATTTTCCCGTTATTTCCCGACCATGACAAGGAGCACACGGCGGATCTGACCGGTTGGCAGGGGATGTTCACTCCTCCATGGCACCTGATCCCACCTCTGATGTTTTGGAGATCCGCGTTTGCTCTGCTCCTATTTCGTATTGTTTAATTAATTGGCGATGTTTGTATTATTTATACAAGTTAATTGAGATTTACCTGTATGATCCCAATTGATGATTGACTTAAAAGTGCTCAAAATACCAACAGTACACTAATCATATGCTTCTGCTAATGACAATAGCATTACTTTTACACAATCAATTTTAGCGTTTTATAAATTATGTGAAATTTTGTTTAAATTTTACGATTTATAAAAGTAAAAATTCCAAAAATAAAAGTTGATAAAAGGTTAATATAGGATATAAAATAGTATCATAGCTTTAAGGCAAATAGGTGGTCTACTTTCTGAGACTTCCATTTAAACGTTTCCTCTTAAATAAACAGTAGTATAACGAATTTTAATCGGCAACGACATCAATTTTATCTATAAATCATTCGATATGGTAGGTGCCTTCCGAACCTCTTCATAGAGTTTTGGCATGAGTGGGAAAAAATTGTATATCTGTAGAATTTTCTATATTAATTGTTGACAAAATGAATGGTATTGATAGCAGTGCAGCCGATCACTTTAGGATTTTGGGTATTGTCTTAACTTGACAACTCACCAGTTTTTCATAATAACAACTCAGTGTTTTGGATTGATTTAACTTTTCCGGACAATTTTGTAGGGAACCTTACCCGATCAATTGCAATGGATGGATATTTCACACAACATAATTCGCGAAAGATTCATTTAGTGGTCTACAACATTAAAAGTATGTTAAGCAACAATCAATGCTGTCCACATTTGAGTTTTTCTGTTACCATGCCTGTTGCATACAGAAAAACGTGCAGCAGGAAACTGGATTTGGACCATCTCCAGGTTATGGATATCCTTTTGGCCATGGATGGAAGGGGATCCAGACAGGTGCTATTAGAGACACTTAATTTCACTGGTGTGACCAACTTTGTAAAATATATAACTTAACAGTGATTTGTAATGCATTCTCCTTTATGGTTGTAGAGCTGAATCAAACAAGGAAAACATTTCGGCGGAGAAATCCTAAGGTCTTGTTTCCTTTGCTGCAGATGTTACTAATATGATCACTCCATTTCAAGTCTGATGTTATAAGACAGCCGAGGTATTTCGCTCTCTTTACATGTTCGAGAATGTGGCCATGTAGCAAGTATTGGTGATGTATTAGGTTAGGCTTCCTGCTGACTGATAATACATTGCACTTATCAGGATGGAATTCCATTTTCCACCTCCTTTCCTAAATGCCCAGTTTATCAAGGTCTGCTTGGAGTGTCTGGGTATCCAGTTCAGACGTGACAGTAAGGTATACGATAGTATCATCGACAAAAAGCCTTACTGTGGCATTGAGGTCTTCTGGCATATCGTTTATATAGAACAGGAATAGGCTTGGCCCAAGGACTGACCCTTGGGGCACTCCGGAGTCAACACTGACATAGCTGGACATTTCTCCATCGACTACTACAGCTTGTGTTCTGTTGGACAGGAAGCTAGCAATCCAGTTGTTTACATTTCCCTGGATCCCATAATGTCGGAGCTTATGGATGAGGAGGCTATGGCTAACCTTGTCAAAAGCCTTGGAAAATTCATGATCAATACATCTGTCTGCTTTCCGGCAGCCATGTGATTGGTTATGTCATCTATAAACTCAGTGAGTTGAGATTCACAGGATCTTTTGCTACGGAAACCATGCTGAAGTGGGTAAAGTATGTTGTTGGTATCAGCGTGATACATAATATGGCTGGTGATGATATGCTCCATGAGCTTGCAGCAGATACATGTGAGTGAGATGGGTCGATAATTCTCAGCCTTGTATCTATCCCCTTTTTTGAAAACCAGATGGTATCTCTCCACTTTGTAACGATTTCCTAAAGATGATGGTGAGAATAGGGGTAACGCTGACAGCCAGCTCCTTCAGTACTCTTGGTTTAATCCCGTCTGGCCCCGCTGCTTTGTATGGATTCAGATTTTTCAATAGTCTTAGAATTACATTATGGGTGATGTGGAGTTCTGGTGCAACCGGGTATTTTCCAGTCACGAGTAAATTCTTCAGTACTGATATGCGTCTTCTCTGAGAATACAGACTGGAACTGCTTGTTCAGCACATCTGCCTGGTCGGTCGGATTGTCATGTAGCACTCCTTCACTGCGGATTAGTGAGATTCCATTGTTGTCGGTTCTTTGGTGTTTTATGTAAGTCCAGAAGCGCTTTAGGCCGCTATATTGGTCGTCTTCTACTTTAGGTGTTACTATTCCCTCGATGTAGTCCCAGTATACTCTTCTTAGTTCTCTTTGTACACTAATTATATAGCCTCCAGGGAGTGAGCTTAAAGACAATTAGCATTACTTTTACACATACGATGTTGAAAATTTTAACGAGCCGTTTTATAAATTATGTGAAATTTTACGCGTTTAAATTTTACGGATTTATAAAACTCGTAAAAATTAGTAAAAATTAGCAGCACGTAAAAAATACCCGTTATACGGTATACCCCGTACTGTATATTTGATATACAGTATGGGGTATATATATGGATATATGAACGAAAAGTATCACCAGCTTTAACATTACAACTGAGCATTTTGTTAAAAAAAAATTCATTGTGTCGTAAATCCGGACTAGTCTACTTTCTGTCGACTTCCATTTAAACGTTTCCTCTTAAATAAACAGTAGTATAACGAATTTTAATCGGCAACGACATCAATTTTATCTAGTCTTCCTTGTAAATCATTCGATATAGGTAGGTTCTGCCTCTCCGAACCTCTTCATAGAGTTTTGGCATGAGTGGGAAAGGATTGTATATCTGTAGTGTTGTCTTATTAATTGTGAATGGACAAAATGAATGTTCCTCTGATAGCAGATGCACCTGTCGAACATTCGATCACTTTAGGATTTTGGCGAATTGCTCTCACCTTAACTTGACAACTTCACCAGTTTTTCATAATAACAACTCCCGAGTGTTTTGGATTGATTTAAGTTACAATTCCTTGACGAACTCTCCCTTGAAAGGAACCTTACCCGATCAATTGCAATGGATGGATATTTCACACAACATAATTTCAAAATTTCCGAAAGATTCATTTAGTGGACTACAACATCTGAAAGTACTTAACATAAGCAACAATCAATTGATGCTTAACCAAACTATCTTTTACAATGAAGTTTTTCGGGATCTAAAATCATTAGAACATCTGGACATACAGAAAAACTTGCATCAGGAAACTGGATTTCCAAGACAATATCCAGACCAGGCAATCGGGCAACTAAAATCACTTACAAACTTGGCCATGGATGGAATTCCGGGATATATTTTGGGATCCGGATTTTTAGAGAATTGTCTATTAGAGACACTTAATTTCACTGGTGTGACCGGAATTTGTAAAATATATAACTTAACAGAGGATTTCTTTTCTAATGTCCCTAGTCTCAAATATCTAGATCTCAGTCACTGTGCACTGAATCAAACAAGGAAAACATTCAGCAGAAGCCTGCAGAATCTTGTATATTTAGATGTATCTTACAATCGCCAACTGACCATGTGTGGACTGAAAAATATCACAGAGGGTTTAAATTCAACATCGATAAAAGTTTTAAAAGCAAAAGGAATATACTGCACTTTGGGTAGAGGAATTTATGTGGCAAGGAATTTTTTATCATCCTTACAAAATTCCAGCCTTGAAGAATTACACCTCGACGAAAACAGAATGGACTATATGTATCCTGCAATATCTCTTATCATTCCTTCATCGTTGAAATCACTCTCTCTAGTTGGAAACAGGTTAACACCAGGGATATACATGTATCGAGATTTTTCTACTGTCACTGGCCTTGAGGTTCTTGATATAGGTTTTCAACACCGACATCCGAATGATCTGCCACTGCATGAACAGTATCTATGTGATGACTACAACAGGTCTTTTGAATGTGAATCTAGGAACAGAGATACTTATCCATACAACCAACAAATGCAAGACTGGCCAGTTCAAAAACATGCTACACCAACCAACAAAGCGTCATGTGACGACGCTAGTATCGTAGATTTAAGTATTCCAAAAAATTTGAAATCTCTTCATTTTGACTTTTCACGTGTTGGAAGTACCATAGAAGGCGTGACGCTTGGGTATTATCATAAAATTGAAAATTTCAGCATCAGAGGCAATACATTCACTGAATGGAGAGGCCCATTATGTAATGTTTCAACGTTGAAATACATGGATCTCTCAGAAAATTTGTGTTCAAAAGTCTCCAGTTATTTCTTTGACAATTTTTCGAATTTGAAAACTCTTCTTTTAGAATCGAATTACCTTGTCTATCCATTATCGCAAGACAAACAGGGTCAAATTTTTAAGGGACTAAGAAACCTTGAGCATCTGAGTCTTTTTAACAACAGAATTGATAAATTGCCACAGAAAATATTTAAAGGATTAATTAGTTTGAAAACTCTTAATCTCAGTACAAATGGTCTGAAGGACATAACATTCAGCATGAAATATTTTCACTTGTCAGCTTTAGATCTGTCGAGTAACTATGTTCAATATTTGTCCAAAACAAGCATGATGGAACTCGATAACCATCACGGAATTTCAGTAAATTTGATGAACAATACGCTTGTTTGTACATGTGAATCTATTCCATTCCTTAAATGGATGAAGGAAAGACTAAGAAACACTGATAAACGTGTGTATTTTATTAGTTTTCATTCATATAGATGCAGAGTCTCAAATGGTACCTCGTTGTCACTGTATTCATATTTGGAGGCAGAACTTTCTAGACTTGAGCGAAATTGCTTCAAGACTGAAGGATACGTCGTAGCTTTATTAACATTTGGAATAATAGGTGTTTTAGCTATACTTATTGCATTTCTGGTGAACAAACAGAAATGGAAGATACGATACTTTTTATATGTTGCAAAACGAGAACTTATGAAAAGAAACTATGAACCACTGAGAAATACCGAAGACTATAATTACGATGTTTTTGTATCCTACGCCGACGAAGACAGGACATTTGTTTTACAAGAGGTTATGCCAAGATTTGAGGAAAAGTTTCATGTGTGCATTCATGATAAGGACTTCATTCCAGGTTCAGATATTGCAGACAATATTATTGGTGCCATCAGAAACAGTAGAAAGACCCTGCTGGTCATTTCCAAGCACTTCATAAAGTCAGAGTGGTGTATGTATGAATTTAACATGGCGCTCTTTGAAGAGAAGTTTACACGTAAATCACATTCGCTAATATTCATTTTCAAGGGAGACATCGCAATTGAAAAATTGCCTTTAAAAATGGCAGAAGCCAGGGATTCTACTGTTTTTGCCGATTTTCCTGTAAATGCAGAGGACGAAGCAATCTTTTGGCAAACATTAGAAAGAGCACTTTTAGATCAAGTCTTATAAAGATTCATGCATTCAAAACATTGCAATCTATGTGTTATTCAGCTTTCATATGGTTGAACATGAAGAATGGTTGTTTTTATTTAGCTATCATTTTAGGGTCCTATAGAGTGTAGAAGTGTAGATGTGTATGTCGTAGTGCTTATATTACAGCAGTACAATATTCAGCTTTTAAACATTCAAGTAACGATAAGATTTATAATTTTATATGGTTAAATTTGATTCATTCACGTTTTGGTGTTTGCAAAATGGAAAGTTGCTGACAAGATTTTAATGAGTACCTAGTAGACAGGCCTAATTTCATTATATCTATGTATTACTTGGCACTTTTATTTCATGTTATATATTTTTTAGTAAACTTCTCCTCGTCATTCTATTAATTAAGTTGTTACACGGCCTATGTAATATGTTCTATATTTGTAAATCAACGTCCATTGACTAAATGTAATAAAAAATTCAAATGTACAGTATTTGTTTAAAAATGCAACGCCATGAAGAGCTGATGTCAGCAAAAACTGCTTCCTTATCTTTTATGTACAAAGTCGTGACAGGGCACACAAAATCGTAACAACGGTACCAAGAACATGAGTTGCGCATTTTATAATCATTTCATTTATCTAAATTTGAAATGAATGAAGTTTAAAGGACTATATTTGCACTATGCAAGAAGAACTTTATTCTTGTTTCGACATCAATTTTTACTGGATAAAATTGCATAATTACTGATCATATCAAATACCCAAAAAAATATGAATTTAAATCAAATACTTTCCTGTCTTTATTTATTTGACTGGTATCACAAATTATGAGGGAACATTGAACTATATATCAATGAATTTTTAAAAGTTTAAAATATGGTTGGGGCTTCAATATTATTTCATAGACTTTGAAGAAAAAAAATGGAAAATGATATTTATGTAACTAAATATATGCAAGACTTAATAATTTAGATAAAAAATAATTATTTCTTAGGTAATTCTCCGATCAAAAAAACGGATTTTGTTCGTTCTATTAGACGATGTACATGTATTTGGGTCGTATAATTTGATTGAATTGAATATCATGATATGCAGAAAGGGGGATACGATTGAACAAAAATGGCAGCATGGAATGACTTAAATTATAAATACAATTTTTTTCCTTATGTTTCCAATGATTAAGTGTATGATAAACTTGCCAATTATTCAACTTTTTTATCTACAGAAATTAAAATTAATTAATTACAAATAGGCTAAAGAGATAAACACAGATAATCAAAACTCCGGAAAATCATGCCGTGTCCATGTATATTTGTCGACTAACTAGTTATGTAAGCATTGAGAAATGTTTATTTCTTTGGTAAATAATAATTAAAATCAGATTTTTCAAAAAGGCGTTAAAGATTTAAGTACGGTTTATCACAATATTGATCCCGCTATTTGACGAAAACTTAATATTGTACGGATGGGTATCGAGAAGAAAAGAACATTAAATAAACCGGGGATCCAGTTTAGTAGGAAATTATTGGGGAAATATATTGTCTCTGATTATTTTTACGTAAAGGAGGCAAATTATTGACAAATTTCTGAAACAAGAATATCAACAGTCTCTTTTAAAGTCCTCATTTAGTAGGTTCTTTGGTCGATACTATGATCCTGTCAGCAATTAAAAAACATTTTTTCAGTAATTCAAATGCTGACTGACGTTTTTCATGCCAGTTGTAAGGCCATAATGCACACTAAATTATCGGTGGATTTTCCCGTTCTTTCGCAATCAAGCGGGTGTGACCAGTCGGCAGTGGATGCTCGCTCCTCCATGGCATCTGATCCCAAATCTGATTCAGAGTCCATGTTTGCTCTGCTCCAATTTTGTATTGATTGATGGAGTTTTGAGCTTGGATACTGGTCGTTATCTCCATATATGTTCATTATATCTTTCGTTATATTTTTAAAGCAATGCATACTAGTACTACTCACCGATTAGTTGATACCACAACGATTTCAATAAACTCGTTAAAAGTCGGCATCCGTATATTCTATGGTCGTTTTCATGACTTTGTAAGCAAATAAAACTTACCATTAGTTCGTATTTTGACTGACTTGTTTCATTAAGGAATGACTCTAACTCTTGGCCAAATTATTCAATATAACCTGGTTTGGGTCAGTTAACGCTTTATAATCCGCGAAGCGGATTATAAAAAAGCTTAAACTGATCCAAACCAGGTAACACTCGAATAATTTGGCCAAGAATTAGAGTCATTCCTTATAATTTAATTTTAATTAAAATAATTAAACAACTGTGGATGTAAAATTATGTTGCTTTTTATGAGTTCAAATTTGCCGCTCAATAATACAACCGTAAAGTGATGGGAAGCGAGGGGAGGTAATAACTGATACATAGACCTAGCAGCCATGATGTTTGTTTACATGAGGTAAGATCGGACTACTGTTTAAATTTAAGGGTACATTTATTAAATCTGGAATTTTCCATGAATCCCGAGGATTGGAAATGAATGGATTGCATGGATACAGATGATTTAGCTGGTTGTCAAGCGTGTGTGTCCCCATACCAAACAATGAATTGCGTTCCTCTTTGGAAATCGACCAATGAGAGTCTAAAATACACACGCAATTAAATTACCAATTATTAGGCCTTTGTTACTATACTAAATTTGCCTACAGAGAAATTTCCGTCTACCGCGTAAGGCTCATAGCGGGTGAGACAGGTCAACAAGGGATGCTTTTTCATCCTAGGCATCTTATCCCACATCTGAAATTTGAAGGGATACGTATTTATGACCTCTTCACATATTTGTATTGTTAATAGATGTATTAGATCGATCAATGTGTGTTAATTTCACCTTTTATATCAAATTTCACAAAAATCAAAGCTTATAAAAATTTTGTACCGCTTTAGAGACCAAATGACAGTCTTGTAAAAATAAGCGAAATATTGACGATCTATAGTTTCCAAAAGCTACACAAATACATGTAACTAGCAATGCACACTGTTGATGTGGAGGTACAGTATGTATAAATTGATTCAACTATCAATCACGAATACTGAGAAAAAGTGAGTTTCAAAACATCACTTTTAAGTGAAAAGAAGAACACATGCTGTGGCCTTCAACTCCACATTTAGATATATCGACGACTTATTGTCAATGAACAATGGTAACTTCCATCCTTATTTCGATAGATATATCCCGGTAAGCTTGAGATAAAAGATACCACAGAGTCTGACACATCTGTTTCATATTTGGATATTTTACTTAAAAAAAAGACATTAATGGTACTATAGTAATCTAACAACCAAGCTCTATGATAAACGTGATGACTTGAACTTTACAATCGTCAACTTCTCTTATTAATGCAGCAATACACCCTCATCACCTGCACACGGAGTTTATATATCTCAGTTGATTCGATGCGCAAGAGCATGCTCTATGTATGAACAATTTCTCAAACGAGGTAAATTATTGACAAACATGTTGATGAAACAAAAATTAATGTCACGATTTCGTAAGTTCTATGGTCGATACAATGACCTTGTCAGCAAATACAATTTATCATTAAGTCAAATGCTGACTGACATTTTTCATACTAATTGTTAGTCTATAAACGACGGATTTTTATTTATTTTTATCTTTATTTCCCGATCATGACAAGGAGCACAAGGCGGGTCTGAACGGTCAGCAGGGGGTGCTCATTCTTTCATGGCACCTAATCCCACCTCTGATGTTTTGGAGGTCCCTGTTTGCTCTACTCCGATTTTGTATTGTTTTATGGACTTTGATCTTGAATACTGTGCGTTATCGCCATATATTTCATTGAAATATTAAAATTTTATCGTTAAAAATATACATGAATTTTTGATTTGTAGATTTTAAAGTTTAGAAATGAAATATAAAGATAGCATTCAAATTAAAAAAAAAATTAAAAAAAAAAATCAAAGTTTAATACGAGATATTTGATGAGTACCATCTAATTCTTTATCCTGTGTGCTCAGCCTTCATTCTTGCCGGATAATCCTTTGTTCTGTTTTCCAAAGAAAACCAGAAGGGGATCCCAGTTTTAATGAAAATTGTAAAGCAGCCGTTTTTGACGTTGCTGTATTTTGTTCGTTTACAAAGAGCCACAACTCTTTACATTTTAGATTAGAATGTAGCAATTTGTAAGAAACAAAATCATTTTCTAGACTGAGGGGTCATTTTTCAACGTCAGAAATTGACACGGTCATTATTTTAGGTCTTGTACGTGTTTAGAATGTATTCTTCGTTGATTGAATGAAGAATATTAAATCTCTTTCAAAAAGAAAGTAAAACGTTAATTAACTTACTAAAATTGTTTATTGATGCTTTACAATTAAAATTCCTTCATTTTATATTGTATATTTCAAGTAAATAGGTTATACACTTCAAATGTACAACAAAAAATGACACACAGTAAAATTTGAGCTTATGATTTAAAGATAACGAGTTTGACTATAATTTGTAATAAAACGATAGCACCGTTGACGTTATTCAATAATGTTATTATTTTTTTTAAATAATCACGTCTTAGAAACAGAAACTAAAATTAATTACAATTCGATATTGCAACAAATTTAAAGTGAATTTTGCCTGGTACAATTTGAATAAAATTGTTCCTCACATTTATTAAATTATCAAGTATGTATATCTTTTTCATGATCCACAGTGAATGACTGCAATAAGTTCTTGTTTATAACATCAATATAATTTCATAAAGGTAGACTTTAATTGTTGCTGTTAGTAGATATTGCTGAAAACAAAACGTTTTGAATCTTAATTTTAATCCACTTCAATTCTCCTTTAGATTTGTAGAGAATTTATCGAATAGGCATAGATACAATGTATTTGAATTTACAGAATTTTATTTAATTCACCTTCTTATTTATTTATTGTTTCAAGAAATCTAAATGTTTTAAAACATATTTATCATAGGTGATGCTGCCCTGCCCTATTTATATCAGTTCATATAATATGATCATAACTGCAATTTGATGGATCTTTTTGATGAACAATCTGCATTATTTCCCGCGAACAGCCAACGACCTTGATCGCATGGTCT